GCTCGCGGCGAGATGGTCGACTAGGTGTTCCGTTCTCGCAACACGTTCCGTGCTTTTCGTTTGTCGGTCAGCGCGGCCATTCCCGCCAGAGTGGAATGACCGCGCGCTGGCCGACAAACGAAAAACACGGAACTCCTGCCGAGCACAAGGTTGGCCCCCGCTGAACATGGGGGCGATTCTTTTGCTTGGGATGTGAGTGCGCGCGCTCGGAGTCCCGTGGGCCGCGCCGCCAGCGCGGCGAGGATTCGCATGGATGTTGGATCATCCAACTCTTGACGGTTGAACAGGGTGGTCCCTCCCGACCGTGCTCGGGAGCGGGTGTTACCGGTGGGGCCCATCATATCTCAATCTGCCGTGCCGTGGACCGCACATTTTCGTCTTCTGGCCCCCCTCTTCCGCCAAAATCCCCCGCCCGGGGCCGCGCCAATCCCATTCCCCTGCGGCGGCAAGCAAGGGGCGCGAAGAAACCGCTCGCAACGCACCTGAGTCGCCCAGCCCACCGAGGCTGGACGATTCAGCGCAATCAACTCAAGGTAACTGCTGGTCGTCGTATCCCCACCTCCCCTTTTCCCTCATTGTGCCTGCCCACTCCTCGCTCGCCTCCTCCGTGGATCAGCCCAGCCCCCCCTGTCCCTGCTTGCCCCTCCTTCCCTGCCCCTGCCCACCCTTGTCCCCGCCCCGCGGAGCGAGCCGCTCTTCTCCACTTCCTCAGTGGGTCAGCCCGCCCTCGCCCCTCAAGGGATGGCCGGACCAATCAGGGACGCCCGTCTCTCTCCTTCCCCCATCTTCCCCTCGAATGCCTTTCGCCTCCTCACCGTTGACGCCCTCTCCTCCTTCCAACGCGCCCTTCGGCTTCCCCTCCGCCCCCCTCGCGACCCCGCTTGCCTGCCCCTGTCGCTCCTCGGTCGCCCCGTCCTCCTCCCGCCCTCAGCCCTCCCGACCAGGCCGCGTTGGCTCAAGGCTGCAGCTGCGCCCAGTTATGCTGGCGCGCGCCGAGATGGAGCTGGCGTTAAGAGCTAGTTGCTTCTCGTGCGCCTAATCCCGCGCGGGCCTCCTGGGCACGCGCGCGCGGTGGATATCGCGTGTTGGGCCCGTGATCCCTCGTCTATTCGAGGTTGGGTAGGCGGGCCGCCCGAAGTGCGACGTCAGGGTAAAGACGTCGGTTGGGCACTCGACTGCAATCGTGTTGTCGGAGTGGTGCGACGGCGCGTTCGCTTAGAGCGTGGCGGATCATGGACTTCTTGGTATGCCTGGATGCTTCCGTCTTGCGCGAGGGCGGGGGGTGTTTGTGCTCGCTTGCCAGTGCTCCTTGGGTTCGTGTCCTGTGCACTTTGGCCGCTGCGCGGGCCTGGTTAGCGTTTGTTATTGTTTCGTGGTTGGGTGCGCACGGGAGATGCGTTCGCCCCCTTCGTTCTGTCATCGCGAGGCAGCTTGGTTGGGCGCGCTGGCCGCGCCATTTCGCTCTGCGTGCGCCCGCGTGCAGCCGAAAATCTGCAGAGTTGATTTGTCGGCGCGTCGGCAACAGTTGCAATTTCGATGGGCGCTGCGATGGCTCGTTATGTCTTCTGCGACGCCCTCGGGGGCGCGCGGGCTCTGCGTCGCTTCGCCTGGCGACCTCGCCACGCGCGGGCAGTCCTCGCGCGAGCCTCGCGCGGGATTCCTTGAGGGCGCAGTTGTCACCCCAGCGCTCCTCGCCAGGCCCTTACATATGGGGAGCTCCACGCAGTGAGTAATTCTAGCACCGATATTCGTGTTTTCTCGGCCTTGGGCCTTGGTCGTGGTTTCGTTTGCTCGGACCTTGGTTTGTTTGATCGTTTTCTCGTGTTCTCGGCCCCTGGGTCGTTATCTTGTTTTCTCGGAGCCTGGTTCATTGTGTCGCTTTCTCGTTTTCTCGGCTTCTGGGTTTTTGTTGCGTTTTATCGGGCCCTGGTTCGTTTTCTCGTTTTTCTCGTTTTCTCTGCCTTTGGGTTGTGTTCTCGCTTTCTCGGGCCCTGGTTCGTTTTCTCGTTGTCTCTTTTTCTCGGTCCCTGGGTCGCGGTCTCGTTTTCTCGGGCACTGGCTTGTTTTCTCGTTGTCTCGTTTTGTCGGCCCCTGGGTCGTGGTCTCGTTATATCGGACCCTGGTTCGTTTTCGCGTTTTTCCCCATATCCTAAGATTGGGTTCTTGCTATTTCTTGGACGCCGCCGACTTCTCCTTCTGCTCCCCTCTCCTCCTCATACCCAGACTTATTCATGCACAGACTGACTCAGACTCAGACATACCCATACACAGACTGACCCACACACAAAATTACTCATACTCAGACCTACTCATACTCATACCTACTCCTACTCAGACTTACTCATGCTGAGACTCACGCGCGCCCCGTTCGCGGCCGTTTTGTGGGGATGCCTCAAGCGGTTTGCCTGTTTTCTGTCCCAACATCCTTCGTTTTCGGAGCAGATTTGGAGGATGTCTCGAGTGAGGCGCTCATTTTCACGTCCCTAAGGGGAGCCGCCGAGGGGTGTTGCACGGTTCCGTTCGCGGCTGTTTCGTTGGGATGTCTCAAGCGGTTTGGTTGTTTTCTGTCCCAGCATCCTTCGCTTTCGGAGCAGATTTGGAGGATGTCTCGAGCGAGGCGGTCATTTTCACGTCCCTACGGGGAGCCGCCGATGGAGTGCTGCACGGTCCCGTTCGCGGCCGCTTTGTGGGGATGTCTCAAGCGGTTTGCTTGTTTTCTGTCCCAACATCCTTCGCTTTCGGAGCAAATTTGGATGATGTCTCGAGCGAGGCGTTTTTTTTCACGTCCCTAAGAGGAGCCGCCGAGGGGTGTTGCACGGTCCCGTTCGCGGCCGTTTTGTGGGGATGTCTCAAGCGGTTTGGTTGTTTCCTGGCCCAACATCTTTCGCTTTCGGAGCAGATTTGGAGGATGTCTCGAGCGAGGCGGTCATTTTCACCCCCCAGGTGGGCCGCATTTTGTGGATATCTCGGTTGGTGGCCAGACTCGTGGGCACAGATTCTCCTCAGGATGCCACTGGAGGCTCCAACAAGCTCCAGGAGGCCCCAGGAGCCCACATGAGGTCCCAGGAGGCATCAGGAGGCCACAGAAATATTCAAGAGGCCACAGGATGTACCAAGAGGCTCTAGGAGGCCCCAGGAAGCTCCGGGAGGCTTTAGGAAACCACAGGAGGCCCCATGAGGCCGGAGGAAGCGCCAGGAGGCCTCGGAAGGCAACAGGAGGCTCCGAGAGGCCCCAGGAGCAGGAGGTCTCAGAAGGCAACAGGAGTGGCTCCAATCCCATGTGTTTTACGTATGCTCCTATAGATTGGGCCTCACCTGGAGCACGAATCCTTGATGTCATACGTATGTTTCTATATATTGTCCTTCTCCTGTGTACTTACCTCTAGGGCTTCTCCTGGGGCACGAGTCCTTGGCGTTTTACGTGTGTTCCCATAGATTGCCCCCTTCTCCTGCGGTTCCAATCCGCAATGTTTTATGTGCGTCTGCTGCTATATATCGGGCCTCTCCTGTGGCACGAATCCTCCCTAGGAGGTCCCAGGAGGTCCCAGGAGGCCCCAAGAGGCTCCTGGAGGCTCCAGGAAGCCCCAGTAGGTTTCAGGAAGCCCCAGGAGGCCCCAGGAGGACCCAGGCTCATGCGCAGAGACGCGCTCGTACTACTGAGGCTCATTCATACTCCAATTCGTTTTCAGTTAGATTCATGACCAGACCGTCACAACTGAAGCCCGTTTATATTCTAAAGCTCTTGCGCCTAGACATTCACGGCGGACAGGTCCATGCGAATAGACACAAGTTTACTCATACTCACACCTACTCATACTCAGATCTACTCATATTCAGACTTTCTCATGCTGAGACTCACTCATACCCAGATTACCTCATACTCAGAATTGCGGGGCGCTGGTTTCAGCACCCCTAATGGGAGCCTTTAGGAGTGATTTCACGGTCCCGTTCGCGGCCGTTTTGTGGGGATGTCTCAAGCGGTTTTATTGCTTTCTGTTTCAACATCCTTGGGCACCAGAGAAGATAGTGCGGATGTCTCAGGCGGGGCGCTGGTTTCAGCACCCCTAGGGGGAGCCGCCAAGGGTGTTTTCAAGGCTCCGTTCGTGGCCGTTCTGTGGGGATGTCTCAACATGAGATTCGCATGTTGCGTTGCATGGCTAGACATACATTCCCATATCCCACTGATAATTATCCTTTCGAAAAAGATGCACATATGGGGATCTCCACGCAGTGAGTAATGCCCCTAGGTCGTGGTCTCGTGTTCTGGGACCCTGGTTAGTTTTTGTTGCATCCTGGTTCGTTTTCTCGTTTTCTCGGCCCCTGGGTCGTGGTCTCGTTTTCTCAGCCCCTGGGTCGTGATCTCGTTTTCTCTGACCCTGGGTCGTCGTCGTCGTCGTCGTCGTCGTCGTCGTCGTCGGTTGTCGGTCGCGCGTCGTCCGTCGTCCGTCGTCCGCTTTCGCATGACGTCGTCCTCGTCGTGACGATCACGACGAGGTCATGCGAAGACGACGACGAAGGAGGGGAGGGGGGTAGCTTCCAGCAGGGGGGGGGTCCAAAGGGGGGGGGTAGCTAAGCCCCCTCCCCATTGGAAAAGGGGGGAGGTGGGGGGTAGTTTCCGGAGTGGCAAAAGGGTGGGAAGGGGGGGTAGCTTCCGGGGGGGCCAAAAAGGGGGGGAGGGGGGGTGTGAAAGCGAGAGCGTTGGATAACCCAGCGTTTGCCCACCGTCTCACTCGTTTCTTATCCGTAAACATTGCGGTTCCCAGGGCCCTTGAGTCTCAGGCGACACACGGGAAACATCAGCGTCTATCTCATAAGTTGCATCTTCGCATTGGTAGCAGGAGCTGTTCGACCCACGGACACGCCTTCGCATCATCGAAGAGAAGCAGCTCGCAGCATCGAGAGAAGCAGCTCGCGGCATCGAGTTCGGCGGATAGACCGCCACACACGAATAAGTACGAGGCCGGAGATCCACAGAGAGATCTACAGCAGGACCGGCAAGGATGGCGCCCAAGGTGGACCCGTCCGAGGAAGTAGCAGAGGGTGAGGAAGGACGTGCCCAGCAGCAGGGAGGACCACACGTTCCAGCTCCCGCCTTCGACCCGCAGACGATGACGATGAAGGATTATAGGAGGCGCGTGGCGATATTCAAGATAAGGACCAGACTGCCCTTTGCGAGGCAGGCCGCGGAGCTCTACGCAGAACTGAAAGGCGACGCCTGGATTCATGCAGAGGACCTCGACCCGACGGAGCTTCAGAACGACGAAGGGGTCCAAGTGCTGCTCGATTTCCTAGCAGATAAGTTCGACGACGAGAAGGTGATGGAGCTTGGGTCCGAGCTCAAAACTTTCTTCACACGCATGCGCCGCGACAGCGGCGAATATATCAGGGCTTACATCAACCGCTTCGACACGCAGGTCTCGAGACTTAAGAGAATGCAGATCGAGTTCCCAGATCAGGCGCTGGCGTGGTTGTTCATGCGGTGGCTTGGCCTGCCGCCAGATCGAGAAGCTGGAGTGCTGAACGCTAGTCAGAATAAGAACGAGCTCAAACCTTTACAGAAGCAGACGTTGCTGAACGTGAAGGACGCCAGAGCACTGGACAAGCACAACCCCCGGAGGCCAGCGCCCATGACACCACTAGCGCCCAGAGGTCCGTCAGCACGACCTCGACGATGGGGAGCTCACATCACCGAGAACGCTGAGGAGGAGGATCTCGATGTGTACGAGACCCAGGTGGACGACGATGACCTGCCGGAGGAGTTACTTAAGGAGCACGAGGAAGCGGAGGCCGAAGTGCACAAGTTGGAGAAGATGCTCGCCCGAGCGAAGGACAGGCAAACAAACGCCAAGCAATCTAGAGGATTTTATCATAGAGATCGGCTACCTGGGCGCGGACCTGGTAAAGGACCTGGCGGAAAAGGCAGTCCTGGAGGCGGCAGGGGGCCCGGCGGCAAGGGCTCGGACCGCATCGAGAAGCTGGAGGCGAGGGCCCATGCGCAGTGTGCCAGAAGCTGGGGCACTGGAAGGGTGACCCCGAATGTACAGGAGCGCCAAGTAAGGCGCACATGACGACTGCCGACGACCATGACGAAGACGACCAGGGATCAGAGCAGTGTCTCACGAGCTGGAACAGCAACGAGAAGCATATTGAGAAGCAGGCGCTCTTCATCAACAATCACGTGCTGATGACCGTCGCGGGCAGCGTGAACGTTATCATGGCTACGAAAGAGGAGCTGCTGCAGCAGTGCGGTGGCAAGCTGTTGCCAGACTCGTGCTGCGCCAAGTCCGTTGGAGGACAGGTTTGGCATGATGGCATCAAGATGAGGCTCGCGAAGATGGTGACGAACATGAGGTTTTCAGGTTCGGCTCCGGGGAGCCAGTCATGAGCGCGATTGGATCGCTGGTGCCGCTCGCAGCGCGCGGACGTCCCTTCGCGCTGAGGACATCCATCGCGCCGCGCCTGGTCCCCGCGCTGCTGTCGCAGAAAGCTCTTGGTCAGCTGGGCAGTGCGCGACCGTGGGGTGGGGGCTGGCGAGAGCGCCGTGGCGTTCAGGAAGCCGGGGGTGTCCAGCCTCGAGCTCGGGCAGACCAAGAGCGGATATCCGAGTTCTGAGGTGCTGGAGTTCGACAGGGCTCACATTTTTACCATGGCTCCAGACGTGGGCCCCAGCGAGACAGAGATCAGGCTGCTTCCGCCATCGCAGCGCCGGTGGAAAGAACTCGAGAGGAGCCCTCATCATCATCGCTCGCAGGATCATCATGCTATGGAGGCCTCCCGGGCACAGGCACGAGATATTCCTAGTGGGCCTCCAACGGGATCCCAAGGGGCCCCGCGCCAACCACGTCAAGAGCGACCCGAATCACGAGGAGCCGAGCTTCAACATCATGAGGGATCCGAATCAGTACGAGCTAAACTTCAACGACTGCGAGAGCGATCCGAATCACTGCGAACTAAACTTCAGAAAGCCTCTGGAGCACCCCAACGAGAACCCTGCGCGGACCAGTTTCGGGAAACGGACAAGCATGCCGAAATGCAGAAACCTATGCAGAAGCAGCAAGCACCAGCACCAGCAAACTGTGTGCGATGTCACCTAACGGACAATGATGAAACAGTTCGGCCCCGGCCAAATATGGTTGGAACCGTTTCAGGTGATTCTCAAACTCAGTATTCCCGTTCATGTGCGGATGCCTCTCAGCGCGCTGGGGTGGATCCAGGGTTGGGGCGCCCTCGGTGTTAGCGCCAACAAGAAGTGCAACACCGTAGCGCTGATGCGCTGGAAGCAGATTTTCAAGCTGGTGTTCTTAGCCATCGTGATGACCAGGCACCCAGCTGTGGCCATCATCTTCCACAACGGGCGCCGCTACGGCCAGGGGGGGATCCTCGAGAAGCAGGCCGAGGCACCAGCGCCCAGACGACTACTACCACTGGGCAAGAGATGGAGAGCAACGGGCTGGAGTTCCAAGACCTGGGCTGCAGAGAGATGCGCGTGATCCTCAGCGAGCTACGGATCGAGAACGGCCAGAGCCGCAGAGGAGCTCGAGCTGCAGATCGAGAACTCCGAGGGATCGCCAAGAAGCGGCCAGGAAACGCAACGTAAAAGTTACCGACGACATGCTCGAGGACAAAATCGCGTGTTTTTTGCTGGGGCAGACACCGAAAGCAGTCAAGAAGGAGGAGACCAAGGGCGAGGTACCGCTGCTTACGACTTCGAAGGATACTTAAGTGACCAGGAGTGCCTCCTTGGCCTGTCGGAGCTCAGGGAGGGAGCGACAAGCACGACCAGTGGGGCCACAGCCCTCGGAAGACTCAGAGAGCGACGAACCGCCGACCAGGAGAAGGAGCTCATTGATCAGCGACATGGCTATTGCAGCAGAAGACAGCGGCGTAGAGGAGGACCAGACTTGGGAGATGATAGTTCCGAAGGAGAAGAGCAGGAAACAGTGGGAAGAAAGCGCGAGATGAAGCCGGGACAGGTCAAGCGATGCAAGGACATGATCAAGAAGGCCGTCAGCTTCCTGACGTGGCAGACCACGTTCCTCGGCACCTTTCTGGCGAAACCGCTCTTCTCGGGAGGCAAGGCTATCGTGCAGGATCTCTGCGACGTGTGCAACGTCAAGACCGACCCGAGCTACGACTTGATGCAGATCTTCGCAGGTGGGGCCGTCGTCGCAGAGGAGTTCAGTCGAGCCGGACTCAAGGTGTGCGAGCCCATTGATCAAATCTACAACTACAACCTGCGGAGCGCCCAAGATCGGCGAGAAATTCTACAGCTCTACCGCGCATGCAGGCCGAAGCTCCTCACGTTGGAGTATCCCTGCACACTCTGGACACAACTTACCAGGGTGAACTATCGAGGCGAAGCCAAACAACAACAACTACGTCGCCAGCGTCTTCGAGACCGTCCCCTACTAGACTTCGTTGAGGAGATCGGTATGATGCAGCTGGGCAGCAAGCGAGACACCTTGTTCGAGAATTCTTTGACGTCGGAGGTATTCAAGCAGTCCCAGATCAAGCGTTTAAGGGAGCATCCCCGGGTGCAAGAGGTGAAGGTCGACATGTGCCAGTTCAACCTGCGACACCAACAGTCTAACGGAATGGTCAAGAAGCCGACGAAGCTCTTGGTCTCGAATGACTCCTACGTCAAGCGGCTGAGCAGGCAATGTGACGGACGTCACCAGCATCACCAACTGGAAGGAGCTCACTACACACGCAAGGCAGGACGACGCACCAGAGAGTTCGCGAAGGCAGTCTTGCTAGCATACCAGCACAGCAACATGACCTACATGATGGAGAACGGAGTTTACGCGACCGGTGACTTGATGGATCTTATGGGTGGCGAATCGGACGATTGGTTCTACTACGAGAACGTGGGTGACTTTACCGAGGTGCCGGTCAAGTTGCCAGATGGACCTGATTGGAGCCGCGTAGGCAGAAGAAGGGTCGTAGACCTCGAGACCGACACGGTGGTGCAGGACTGCGAGAAGGCCGATATTACCACGGATTTGATGATGCCGAAGCTGGATCGAACTGCCAAGCTGAAGATTCAGCTATGGTACAAGCCAGAACCTGTTGCAGAGGACATCGGAGCCAAGGCCATCCAGTTTGGACCTGGAAGTTCAGAGTGCTCAAGCAAGGACCTCGCACCTCTACGACAACTTCGCCAGAACTTGGGCCACCCCAGTAACGAGGATCTTGCTAGATCGTTGAGATTTTCAGGATGCAGACCAGAGGTAGTGACTTCCGCGAAGTCACTACGATGCGCGACGTGCATGAGCAAGGTGCGGAAGAAGATCGCGAGACCAGCTAGATTTTCCCACGCAGCCGACTTCAATGAACAGATTGGTTTGGATTGTTTTGCGATCAGGGATGTGGATGGCCAGTCATGGGATTTCTTGTCGGTGGTGGATTTAGGTGCGACGTTTCACGTGGTGGGCATGATTGAAAGTCATCGCTCGGAAGTCTTGGTTAAGGTGTTCACTCAGATATGGGCCAGCTGGGCAGGACCACCAGCAAGTGCAGTCGTGGATTTGGAGCGTGGATTTGGTTCGGTCATTCAAGATATGCTTGACAAGTTCCATTGCGTGGTCGTCCCAGTGGTCGGTCAGGCTGCGCGGCAAAGCGGACGGACTGAACGCCAAGGAGGTTGGTGGAAGGAGTTGGCCGAGAGGACCATTTCGCACACACACCGCGGCCTCAGGTGAGTCCGACATGCGCATCATCGCTTCCGTGGTCACGGGGGCCAAGAATGCGCTACGACGTCAATATGGTTTCAGTCCAGAACAGGGGGTTTTCGGCAAGAGCGCGCGACTACCAGCTGATCTAGTAGACGGAGCTCGCCATGACGCAGTGCATGCAGGGGCCGAACTACAACCGATGGAACGACAGCTGAAGGTGCGGACCGCCGCCCGCAAGGCTTTCATGGAAATACATAACGATAATTTGAGGGAGTTTCTGTGGAACTCACGTCATCCTCACCCCCGGCGCGAAGAGCACGAGCCCAGAGCGGCCTCCGGCACCGTTTCCGGACAGATCCGGCAGATCCGCGGGACGAATCCCAAACCGGCCGCCCTCGCTTGGGACATCCCACAAAACGGGCCCCGGGGGGAATGCCCACAGGAAGCCCAGAGCGGCCTCCGGCACCGTTTCCGGGACCGGCCCCGGCGGATCCGCGGAAGCCGAATCCAAACCGGCGCCCTCGATTGAGACATCCCCACAAAAACGGGCCCCGGGGGAGGGGCCCACAGGAAGCCCTCCCAGAGCGGAGTTGGGGGGGGGGGCCTCCGGCACCGTTTCCGGACAGATCCGGTGGATCCGGTGACGAATCCCAAACCGGCGCCATCGCTTGAGACATTCTCACAAAACCGGCCCCGGGGGAGGTGCCCAGAGGAGCCCAGAGCGGCCTCCGGCACCGTTTCCGGACAGATCCGGTGGATCCGGTGACGAATCCCAAACCGGCGCCCTCGCTTGAGACATCCTCACAAAACCGGCCCCGGGGGAGGTGCCCAGAGGAGCCCAGAGCGGCCTCCGGCACCGTGTCCGGACAGATCCGGTGGATCCGGTGACGAATCCCAAACCGGCGCCCTCGCTTGAGACATCCTCACAAAACCGGCCCTGGGGGCGGTGCCCAGAGGAGCCCAGAGCGGCCTCCGGCACCGTTTCCGGACAGATCCCGCGGGATCCGCGGACGAATCCCAAACCGGCGCCCCTTTGCATATTTTTTTCCTCTTTGTTTCTTTTTCCATTGTTTTTTTTTTTTGAGTTTTCGCTTTTTCTCCTTTCGCTTTTTTGTTTTTTCTTGTTTTTTTTTCCCGCTGAGACATCCCCACAAAACGGGCCCCGGGGGAGGTGCCCACAGGAGCCCAGAGCGGCCTCCGGCACCGTTTCCGGACAGATCCGGCGGATCCGCGGACGAATCCCAAACCGGCGCCCTCGCTTGAGATATCCCCACAAAACGGGCCCCGGGGGAGGACGAATCCCAAACCGGCGCCCTCGCTTGAGACATCCCCACAAAACGGGCCCCGGGGGAGGTGCCCACAGGATCCCAGAGCGGCCTCCGGCACCGTTTCCGGACAGACTGCGGAACCGCGGGAGGAATCCACAAAACGGCGCCCTCGCTTGAGACATCCCCACAAAACGGGCCCGGGGGAGGGGACGAATCCCAAAATCCGGGCGCCTCGCTTGAGAATCAATTACAAAACGGGCCCCCGGTGGAGGTGACCAAAGGAAGCCCAGAGCGGCCTCCTGCAACGTTTCCGGACCCGATTCCGGAAGGATCCGCGGACGAACCCAAATCGGCGGCCCCTCGCTTTTTTTTTTTTTTTTTTTTGTTTGTTTTTTGATTTTTTCCTTTTTATTTTTTACTTTTTTTTTTTTTTTATTTTTTTTTTTTTTTTTTTTTTTGTTTTTTTTTGTTTTTTTCTTTTTTTTTTGTTTTGGTTTTTTTTTTTGATATATTTTTTGAGACATCCTCACAAAACCGGCCCCGGGGGAGGTGCCCAAAGGAGCCCAGAGCGGCCTCCGGCACCGTTTCCGGACAGATCCGGTGGATCCGGTGACGAATCCCAAACCGGCGCCCTCGCTTGAGACATCCTCACAAAACCGGCCCCGGGGGAGGTGCCCAGAGGAGCCCAGAGCGGCCTCCGGCACCGTTTCCGGACAGATCCGGCGGATCCGCGGACGAATCCCAAACCGGCGCCCTCGCTTGAGGCATCCCCACAAAACGGGCCCCCGGGGAGAGAGCGGCCTCCGGCACCGTTTCCGGACAGATCCGGCGGATCCGCGGACGAATCCCAAACCGGCGCCCTCGCTTGAGACATCCTCACAAAAGGGGCCACAGGAGCCCACAGCGGCCTCCAGCACCGTTTCCGGACAGATCCGGCGGATCCGGCGGATCCGGCGGATCCGCGGACGAATCCCAAACCGGCGCCCTCGCTTGAGACATCCTCACACAACGGGCCCCGGGGGAGGTGCCCTCAGGAGCCTAAGCGGCCTCCGGCACCGTTTCCGGACAGATCCGGCGGATCCGGCGGATCCGGCGGATCTGCGGACGAATCCCAAACCGGCGCCCTCGCTTCAGACATCCTCACAAAACGGGCCCCGGGGGAGGTGATCACAGGAGCCCAGAGCGGCCTCCGGCACCGTTTCCGGACGGACGACCTGACGGCATAATTTGAGGGAGTTTCTGTGGAACTCACGTCATCCTCACCCCCGGCGCGAAGAGCACGAGCCCAGAGCGGCCTCCGGCACCGTTTCCGGACGGATCCGCTGGATCCGCTGGATCCGGTGACGAATCCCAAACCAGCGCCCTCGCCTGAGACATCCTCACAAAACGGGCCCCGGGGGGGATTCCCAGAGGAGCCCAGAGCGGCCTCCGGCACCGTTTCTGGACGGTCCGCTGGATCCGCTGGATCCGGTGACGAATCCCAAACCGGCGCCCTCGCCTGAGACGATGCCCAGAGGAGCCCAGAGCGGCCTCCGGCAACGTTTCCGGACGGATCCGCGGATCCGGTGACGAATCCCAAACCGGCGCCCTCGCCTGAGACATCCTTACAAAACGGGCCCCGGGGGGGATGCCCAGAGGAGCCCAGAGCGGCCTCCGGCACCGTTTCCGGACGGATCCGCTGGATCCGGTGGATCCGCCGACGAATCCCACCCCGGCGCCCTCGCTTGAGACATCCTTACAAAACCGGCCCGGGGGGAGGTGCCCACAGGAGCCCAGAGCGGCCTCCGGCACCGTTTCTGGACAGATCCGCTGGATCCGCTGGATCCGGTGACGAATCCCAAACCGGCGCCCTCGCCTGAGACATCTTTTGAGGGAGTTTCTATGGAACTACCGTCATCCTCACCCCCGGCGCGGAGAGCAGAGGAGCCCAGAGCGGCCTCCGGCACCGTTTCCGGACAGATCCGGTGGATCCGGTGACGAATCCCAAACCGGCGCCCTCGCTTGAGACATCCTCACAAAACCGGCCCTGGGGGAGGTGCCCAGAGGAGCCCAGAGCGGCCTCCGGCACCGTTTCCGGACAGATCCGGTGGATCCGGTGACGAATCCCAAACCGGCGCCCTCGCTTGAGACATCCTCACAAAACCGGCCCCGGGGGAGGTGCCCAGAGGAGCCCAGAGCGGCCTCCGGCACCGTTTCCGGACAGATCCGCTGGATCCGCCGACGAATCCCAAACCGGCGCCCTCGCTTGAGACATCCTCACAAAACCGGCCCCGGGGGAGGTGCCCAGAGGAGCCCAGAGCGGCCTCCGGCACCGTTTCCGGACAGATCCGGTGGATCCGGTGACGACGAATCCCAAACCGGCGCCCTCGCTTGAGACATCCTCACAAAACCGGCCCCGGGGGAGGTGCCCAGAGGAGCCCAGAGCGGCCTCCGGCACCGTTTCCGGACAGATCCGGTGGATCCGGTGGATCCGCCGACGAATCCCAAACCGGCGCCCTCGCTTGAGACATCCTCACAAAACCGGCCCCGGGGGAGGTGCCCAGAGGAGCCCAGAGCGGACTCCGGCACCGTTTCCGGACAGATCCGCTGGATCCGCCGACGAATCCCAAACCGGCGCCCTCGCTTGAGACATCCTCACAAAACCGGCCCCGGGGGAGGTGCCCAGAGGAGCCCAGAGCGGCCTCCGGCACCGTTTCCGGACAGATCCGCTGGATCCGCCGACGAATCCCAAACCGGCGCCCTCGCTTGAGACATCCTCACAAAACCGGCCCCGGGGGAGAGCGGCCTCTGGCATCGTTTCCAAACCGGCGCCCTCGCTTGAGACATCCTCACAAAACCGGCCCCGGGGGAGGTGCCCAGAGGAGCCCAGAGCGGCCTCCGGCACCGTTTCCGGACAGATCCGGTGGATCCGCCGACGAATCCCAAACCGGCGCCCTCGCTTGAGACATCCTCACAAAACCGGCCCCGGGGGCGGTGCCCAGAGGAGCCCAGAGCGGCCTCCGGCACCGTTTCCGGACAGATCCGGTGGATCTGCCGACGAATCCCAAACCGGCGCCCTCGCTTGAGACATCCTCACAAAACCGGCCCCGGGGGAGGTGCCCAGAGGAGCCCAGAGCGGCCTCCGGCACCGTTTCCGGACAGATCCGGACAGATCCGGTGGATCCGCGCCCCGGGGGAGGTGCCCAGAGGAGGAATGAGGAGGAGGAGGAGGAGGAGGAGGAGGAGGAGGAGGAGGAGGAGGAGGAGGAGGAGGAGGAGGAGGAGGAGGAGGAGGAGGAGGAGGAGGAGGAGGAGATGATGGAGCTGTGGGGTGGAGGAGGACAGACGGAGGCAAGAGAAGGATGGAGGAGGAGGAGGAGGAGGAGGAGGAGGAGGAGGAGGAGGAACCTCATCCTCACCCTCGCCAACAAGCGCACGCACCTTCTTCCATATACAGAAACTCCCGATCAACCGCAGAGCGGCCGGCTAGTACGCTACGCAAGGCACTACTGGGCCGTGCTCGCGTACACCCCCATCCGCTTGAGCAAGGTGATCTATGTTTCTACTACCGCCAGCTCACGAAGGGCTCGATCAAGAAGGGCACCTGGTTGGGACCAGCCGTGATCGCGGGGAAACAAGGCCAGAACTATTGGATATCGCACGGTGGTTTCACCGAGCTCGTAGCTCCAGAACACATTCGGCCAGTTATTACTGAAGAAGTCTGGTGGGCAGGAATAGACGATCAGCATGGAGGGGCCCTCGACCAGCTTCAGCGCCTAAGCCGTGACGCAGACGCCAGCGCCGACATGGAGTACGAATATCTTCGAGAAGAACAACCACCAGCAGCATAACAATAACAAGTTGTGGAGACGGAGGCGGATGCTGCAGGAGCTCCCGCCGAGGATGCATCAGGAGTACGTGATGATGTTGAGCTCTCACCTGCAGGGGAGCTCCCATCTGGTCAAGCTGACGCACCCCCATTATCGCCTATCCCGATTTCAACACAGACGCCCGGACAAGCACAGAACAACCTTGTACCCAACTACGACGACTGGAACCGTGAGGAGTTTCAGCGACGCCGAGCAGTTTACAGTCCCCTCGATGACGAACCGCATTGCATCCGAGGGAGTCCACAACAAGAAGAAGCTGCCCACCGCATCGCTGGACGACAAGCCGCTCGACAAGCGGGGCAGCTTTACATCGTCAGCATCGCCGATGACAGCGACCAGGATACTACCACCAACTCCAGCTTCGCAGTAATGCTTCGTGGAGCTCGAGCTCAGAGCGAAAGGCTAAGAAAGAAACTTCAAGACAAAGATATTGCCTGGAAGGACATCCCCGAGGAACACAAGTCACTCTACCGAAAAGCCATCGCCGAGCACTGGGAGGAATGGAAGACGTTCGGTTCCGTGGAGGCGCTTTCACTGGGGGAATCTCAACAAGCCCAGACCCAGAATGACAGCAACCGCTTCTTGCCGTCTCGCTTCGTGGTCCGTGGCGAGAATGACAATCTCCGCACGGAAGCCAACCCCGTGTCGGTGAAGGCCAAGACTCGACTATGTGCTGGAGGACATCGTGATCCAGATCTACAGACAGGAGCTCTACGGACAGACGCTCCTACGGTGACGCGAACCAGTTCGCTACTGTTCTTTATCATGGCGGCGCGTTTCGACTGGAGCCCAGTGTGTGCCGACATCATGTCCGCGCTCATGCAGGGAGAAGAGCAGCCCAGAGACAAGCCTCTTTTCATGGAGCAGCCGCCCCAAGGTCTACCAGGACTTCAACCAGGACAAGTCTTACGTATCGTCAAGGGTATTTCTGGACTGGCGACCCCCCACGACAGTGGTGGGCTACTCTCAAGAACGCACTGCTGATGGTTGAGCTCGTGAGCAAGGATGGCCACAAGTTCCACTTAGTTCAAAGCTTGGTGGATCCAGCTGTATTCGTGGGACATGGTTCAGACGGAACTCTGCAAGATATTGCCTGTGTTCACGTGGATGATTTACTGACCGCTTCCAGTACTCAAGCCAGCTATGACATAATCAAGAAGTTGTTTCCATTCGGAGGTTGGCAAGGGCTAGATTTCATGTTTGGCGCTAGGGATGTTGTCCAGCGTTCAGACGGAGCGATTCGAATGTACCAGTAAGTATTCGCCGAGAAGCTAGAACCGCTCGAGTCGACCAAGGAGCGCAAACGAGGTCTAAGATGCCCTGCCACGGAGATCGAGATCGCCGACAACCGGAACTTGATCGGCAGTTTGGGTTGGCTCGCTACGCAGACCCGACCAGACCTAGCTGCAGGAGTTTCGATGGCTCAGAGAGTGCAGAACTCACCGACGGTGGCCGACCTGATCGAGACGAATCGCATTGTATCCGAGGCCAAGCGCTACAATGAGACCGCCATCGCGATCCCGAAGTTGCAGGACGAGCTTTGCATTCTAGTCTTTCATGACGCTGCGTGGGCCAACGTGGACGAGCCACGCGACAAGGTAGCCGGCGCCGCCTGGTGGTGCCGACGCCGCATGCGCACCGCCTACGCTTCGGAGGCTCCGAAGAGGCTCAAGACAAAGAGCCAGGCGGGATTTCTATTATTCGTGGCCGAAAGAAGGATCATCCAGGACGGAGAAGGCAAGGCAGCTTTGGTTGACTGGAGGTCAGCTAAAATTCGCAGGGTCTGCCGAAGCACCTTTGCAGCAGAGACTATGAGCGCAGTGGATGCTATGGGAGCAGCCACTGTTATTTCCGAAGATGGGTATCGACAGCATCGATCCTACCCTATGCCCGATTCAGTGCGTGACGGACTGTGCTTCTTTATATGATACACTTCACCGAGAAGGAGCTGTTAAACTTCAGTTGGGCGTAGATTGGTTTTGGATTTGATCGGACTACGAGAACTCATGGAGGACGAGATTGTGGAAGAAGTGGCCGCAGCTACTAAAATCCAAGTTGCCTTTGGCTTGGTGTCTTATTAAATATTTGCTAGCCGATGCGCTAACTAAACGAATGGATGGATCGCAGATCAGGAAGTCGATGGATGGAGTTATCATGTATCACCAAGACACCCCGCCTAAGAGCGACCACGACTCGAATGCGATGCTGAGTGCGTGGGCGACCGACTGGGAGTACATGGTTTGATGTCATCCTGCAGTGGACAGACATTGATAACGTGATCATGCGATGCCTTTTCCATATTACGCAGCCCATCGGCTGCCTGCTTTTTTTCCATAGCAAACTGTTTGCACTGCTGTCTGTTGTTTCTGAGACGGCGGATTTCGCCCGCTGCGGGACCTGGGAGTTCTGATTTTTAGCACGCTGCCGTGCCCTCCGTGTTTGTGCTTCTTGATCGACAAGGGGCAACATACTTTTAGAACCAGTGTGAAAGCGAGAGTGCTGGATAGCCCAGCGTTTGCCCCTCGCCTCACTCGTTTCTTATCCGTAAACATTGCGGCCCCCAGGGCCCTTGAGTCTCAGGCGACACACGGAAAACATCAGCGCCTATCTCATAAGTTGCATCTTCACAGGGGGGTCGCTTCCAGCAGGGGGGGTGCAAAGGAGGGGGGGGGGGGGGGGTAGCTAAGGGGGGGCCCCCTTCCTTTGCGAGTTCCGCGCGCGCGCCCTCTCAGAGCTATGATTTGTTCTCGGTGTCTTTGCTGGCGCTGGCGCAGTCGGACGGTGGCTTCGACAGCGCATCAAGCGCAACGCATTGAAGCTTGATTTGAAAGATAGCGTCGCCTGTGATTTCAGTTGCCCTCACGTTTGCAAAACATTGCTTGGTTGGATCGGTTTTCGGCATGTGCGCGGGTTCCTCATGGCCTTCCCATGCAGCACCTGATCCAGGGCTAGCAGAGGCCGCTGCAGGTCTACCCCCCGCGCCCATGGATGGCCAGTGGCCATGCCTCGAAGGCGACCGCTTGCGTAACCGCATGCGCGGCAACCGCGCGCTGTTGACAACGGCGCGGCTCATTCGAGCTGCGCTGCGCGCTGGCGCGCCAGCCGTCGTCGGGAGCCCTCATTCCAGCGCGGCCTGGCTGGGGCCCAGCTTGGCCAGACTCACGCAACATCGCCAATGCATCGCCACAGTTTGCGACTTCGGTCGATTCGGCAAGCCCTGGGAAAAGGAAACCCAGCTCGCCAGATGGAATGTTATCTCTCCTCCCCCCTTGCTCAACCGCAAGTGATCTGGCCTCGGGGGTTTTTGTTCGCGGACTGGGCAGCGCCGCCTCTCTCTCGAGGGTAGCGTGGCCGGCCTGGGCCGGCTGGCCGTCGCCGCCGAACCGTGCCCCCCACAGCTCGCCGCCGCCATCGTTCGCTGGCTACGTGACTCTGCCGACTCCATTGTATTGTGTTCCTAATTGTTCGTCGCAGGATGCTTGTGCGTGCTGGAGTTTGTCTTCTTTTCAGGGCATGCGGCTCTGCCAGTTTCCTAGTATATAAGGGGAACAGGGATGGATTGCCGTGGAGAGACCTGGCCTTTCAGAGGCAATTTGCAACTATTACGGTGCGAAGCTCCTGGTTCGCCCTTGCAGGTGAAAATGGAGCGCCGTCGTCTGTGGCTCATCTGCTCCTCCATGGCCTGCTCTCCCCGTGCCTTCCTCGGTGCAGGCGCGTCCTGACATGGAGAGGGGGCTGGCCGCGGTGCGACGCACCCGCTGCTCTTGGCTCCTCTTTTTTCCCGTCCACCTCCTGGTTCATGTCCTGCTGGAGCTGGGATCGATTGCCGTGGGGAGTCCTGGCCTCTCAGGGGCAACTTGCAATCTTCTGGTGCGAAGCTCCTGGTTCGCCCATGCAGATGAAACATGATCGACCCACGAACCCGGAAGGGAATGTAGAGATGTAAGGCATGGCAGCGTTTCAAAGACACCTGATTACGCGACGGGCAAATGCAATGCTGAGTGTATCGATTTGGATATACCGTGCCGAGGGCTGTGCTGTGCTGCGCCGTGCTGAACTGCGATGTGCCATGCCGCGATTGTGTTTTATAACGTTGTTGGTCGAATCCTCCTTTGCATCCGAGTCCTGACCGAACTGAATTAAAGCTCGAGCTGTCTGAACACGTCGTAGCTGTCCCAAAACTAATTGACAGGGGGACATGCTAGGAGGATGCGCCGCGGAACCTCCCAAGGGACGCGCCAGGCGACGCGCCAGGGGACGTGCCATGGGGGCGCACCGCGGGACGTGCCAAGGGGACGCGTTACGGAACGTGCCACTGGACGTGCCACGGGACGTGCCAGGGGACGTGCCGCGCGACGTGCTAGGGGGACTCGCCACGGGACGCGCCACGGAACGTGCCAGGGACCGTGCCAGGTTGCAATGCTGAGTGTATCGATCTTGATGTACCGTGCCGAGGGCTGTGCTGTGCTGCGCCGTGCTGAAGTGCGATGTGCCATGCCACGATTGTGCCCTATAGTGTTGTGGGTCGAGTCTTCCTTTGCATCCGAGTCTTGACCGAAATGATCTGGATCTTAAGCTCGAGCTGCCTGAGCACATAGTAGCTGCCTCAGAGCGTTGTGGAACCCATGTGTTTTCACGCTTCTCCCGCCCTGGGGCGTTAGGAACCGTGTGTTTTCAGGCTTGCCCTTGGGCGTTCGGAACCCACGCGTTTTCACGTATCTTCCGCCTTGGGGCGTTAGGAGCCCATGTGCTTTCGCGTTTCCCCCGCCCTGGGGCGTTAGGAACCATGTGTTGTCACGCTTGTCCCGCCCTGGAGCGTTAGGAACCGATCTGTTTTCACGCTCCTCGAGCCTCCTCAGGCCTCCTGGGGGGCGGAGGGTCACGAGAAACATTCCCCGATTGCATATCCGAATACAAAAACATGTCTCCTGTGGTCTCTTGGGGCCAAGCGCACCCCGAACACCGATCCCAATATAGAACAATGCCTCCTGGGGCCCCCATGAGGCGTCCGGGAGACTCATGTGGCGTCCTGGGGCCTCCTGGGGCGTTGGGACCCCATGTGTTTTCACGCTTCTCTCGCCCTGGGGCGTTCGGAACCCATGTGTTTTCACGCTTGTTGCCGACCTGGGCGTTAGGAACCCATGTGTTTTTATGTTTCTCCCGCCCTGGGGCGTCAGGAACCCATGCGT